AAAAAGAATTTTTTCATTTTTTCATTTATTTTGCATTTTAAAATTATTTTTAGAATATATACAGTGTAATATTCTATTTAGAATATTTCACGTATTTTTCAAAAAAAAATAGAATTTTTTTTTTAGTTAATTCAAGTTCCGAAAATAATATTTAAAAAAAGAATTTTTAGATTTTTCCATTTATTTTGTATTTTAAAATTATTTTTTAGAATATGTCAGTGTAATATTCTATTTAGAATATTTCACGTATTTTTCAAAAAAAAATAGAATTTTTTTTTTTTAGTTAATTCAAGTTCCGAAAATAATATTTAAAAAAAAGAATTTTTAGATTTTTCCATTTATTTTGTATTTTAAAATTATTTTTTAGAATATGCCAGTGTAATATTCTATTTAGAATATTTCACGTATTTTTCAAAAAAAAACGGAATTTTTTTTATTTTTTTTATTTTTTTATATATATTTTTTATTTTTTTTAGTTAATTCAAGTTCCGAAAATAATATTTAAAAAAAGAATTTTTGGATTTTTCCATTTATTTTGCATTTTAAAATTATTTTTAGATTTGATCTCACGGTTTCACAAAATTATAATAGTCTCAAATGAACCTGAACCTATATATATATATATATATATATATATATATATATATATATATATATATATATATATATATATATATATATATATATATATTTGAAACTTTGAATTTATATGAAAAAATAAGGAAAATAATGAATTATTATAATAATATTGTTTTTTATCTTTTAAATTGAAATAAAAAAAAACTAATAAGGTTTAATTTTAGGAAGTTTGAAATTAAAAGGTAAGTTTATTAACGAAATTGATATTCATTTATTACTATATTTATTGCAATTATTACATTAAAATATTATGTGAAATTTAATAAATAAAAAAACTCATAAAATAACATGTGAAAACAAAATTAATTCAAAATAACATTTGATAAATTAAATGATGGTGTGACAAATGATAAAAATAAAAATAAAAATAAAAAAATAAAAAAATAAAAAAAAAACCCTTCATTTGATAAGTTTGGTATGTTAAAATAGGTTAACAAATGTAATTTCATTTGTGATTTCGTTCGTGTGTGTGTGTGTGTGTGTGTATATATATATATATATATATATATATATATATATATTTACTATCTTATAAAAGAAATCCCACTATTTCTAAAAAATAGATAGAATATAATAATATTATTTTTTTTAAGACGTTCAAATCATTAAGTTAATAGTACAAGTAATCATCAATAAAATAATATTAAATTTTAACCTGTGTTTTGAATCCTTATATTTCTCAACAAATGCTATCTCCTCCCCTGAATTTCGGATAATTCAAAATTTGAAACCATCAAAAAATACATGTTGATTCAAATATCCCTCCTGCAGATGACTCTTTCTTAACAGGTTTTTATTTTAATCCTTACTTGTAATTGATTTCATCATTTTTTACTTTTTGTATTTTTATCGTATAATTATATTGGGTGAAGTTTTTATTATATCAGGTTTGTTCCTAAAAAGGTTTTTACTATGTTTCTTTAATGTGTTGACTTTGCAGGTTCAAAGAACTCAACCAAGAGGGACAGTTAGAGCATTGTATTATCATTAGTTTGTATATTTTGACACCTTACTTTTGCAAAGAATGATTAAACACAAAATTTGACATGATTAAGGTAGTTTGTTTATTTTTCATCTTGTTTAGTCTAAAAACGAAACATTTTTCATCATTGGTCCTTATACTATCACGTTTCATCACATGAACTTCTTGATTACGGTGATTATTGTCCTTATTATAAGGTTCTATATAGATTTTGTTCAATATTTTAAGGTTTCGAGAACCTAAATCAATATGAATCATTGAATTACATATTATCGTTGAAAATGTTTTAATTTGTGACCAAACTTGGTTTAAAATCACAATGAACAAGTTGACACCTGAGTATTTTGGTCTTCTCAAAGGCCTATTTATCGACTTTTGAATCACAACACCTGACATTCTAAAGGTTTATTTTTATAAACTATTATTTATATATTTTAGCATTTTACTTAGTAGGACATTAAATTAATAAATGAATTAAGGAAAATGAAAAAAAAAAAAAAAAAAAAAAAAAAAAAAAGAGGACGATAAACAGTACAAGTGGTTTGGGTATATGTATAAATTGAAGTACTAACCATTTAGGAGGTGTTTGGCAAAAAAGTTTATTGCTTATTAGTTTATTAGCTTATAAGTTAATAAGTAAGTGTAGGGTAACTTATGAAAAAATAACGTATTAGAGGTTCCCCACCGGAATAAGTTATTTTAATCCAAACACTTTTTTAACTTATAGTGATGTGGAACCTAATAAGTTGTTTTAAAATAGCTTAGCCAAACACCCTCTTAATATGGTATGGTAATGTTCTTGAAAAATATATGTCATTTAATATTCATTTATCGGAGTGAACGCAAAATGGTTTTACTCTAAAGAGATAAAATTATTCGCCATCCGCCGCTTTGCGCGGGTAGACGGCTAGTATATATATATATATATATATATATATATATATATATATATATAATATATATATATATATATATATATATATATATATATATATATATATATATATATATATATATATATACTTTTTATATTATCAGTAAGCATCATGATATAGGAGATTACATAACTTTGTATTTATATTTGATTAATAGTGAATACATGTTTTACTAAATAAAATAACAAAAAAAAACATACAAATGATCAACTTAAAAGATGCAATAGGCGTTAACTGATATTTTAAAATTTTGAAAAATTAAATAAATATAAAGGTTAAGAACTTTAATATATAAGAAAATAATGAATTATTAAAATTAATTTTTTTTTCTTTTAAATCGATATCCATTTATTATTACATTAAAATATTATGTGAATTTTAATAAAATAATAAAATTCATAAAATGACATGTCGAAAAAAATTAATTCAAAATAACCATAAAATGACATTTGACAAATTAAATGAGAATGTGACATGTAGCAAAAAAAAATCTTCATTTATTAAAGTAAATAATATTTATAAAATTTACAAAATAACTAAATTCTAGCATTTGATATAATATAAAAATTAAATCTAATTGAACATATTGTATAAATAAATAATTTAAATAACAAACAATGCTTTGGCAAAATTTAAATTCTCCTAATTATTGCAAAATCAACCGATTTATTAAAAAAAATAATAATAAATAAATAAATAAATAAAACTTGATACAAATATTTCTTCTTTTCATTCTCACATTTTAAATATGATAAAAGTGTCCTAATTTAACATCTCTAAATACCAACCAAGAAAATCATGGATCGGAGAGTTTGGAATTTTTGTCCATTTATCTGTTTATAATTTTTTTCTTTTGTTCTGTTCAATTTTTCTGTTTTATTTTGTACTTCCTTGCATCATCTTGATGTAAAGTGTTATCTTTTATATATGTTTGCCGTTTTCAAAAACATTAACTAAAAAAATTCTTTCAATTGGGTTTTTTAATTGTTTTGAGCATTAGACCATCATCTATCATGATTATTGTATCGGGAATATAAGATCCATAAACGATCAATTATCATGATTATTATATGGAAGATATAACATTCAATGGAGAACACTCAACATCCTACATGTGTTAAGGTATTTATGAGCTCATATATATTTGACTTTTTCTTATACAATTTCTATAATATATATATTTATTTATACAATTAAGATTAAAATAAACATTACATTTCTATGATATTAAATAGGTTAAAAAGATATATTTTATAAAAAAATAATACTCTATCCGTTTCAAATTAATTGTTCACTTTTGACTTTTAAAGTCTTTTCTTTACTTTGATTTTAAATATTTTTATTTGTGTTATATATTACTTATTAAAACTTATCATAGTGAAAAGATATTTAAAATACAATTCATTCATATATTTTGTATCAAGTATTATCTATCAAAACAAAAATATATAATATCAAAATTAAAAAATAAATACTTTAGAAGTCAAATATGAACAATTAATTTAGAATGAGGATAGTATATTTTTTCATAATGTAGTTTTACCCCTTTTTGTTTGTTAAAATATTAACAAGAAGTAAAAAATAATAATAATAATGAATAATGATGTCTAGAGGGAATTGAAGAAATCGATGATAATAATACTACATAATTAAGGGTGCTCATTTGTTTATTAATCTATTATAGGAAATCTATATACTTAATACATATTAGAGTGTATTTTAAATAAATTTTGTAAAATACAAAATAATTATTTCATGATTCAAAACTACATAAATATTGTGAAAGATAATCCCAATGCTATAAATCATTAAGTAAATTAAATGACAGGAAATTTTAAGAGTTATTTATATTAATAATAAAATATTAATATTATATATCGGTTAACCCGTTCACTGAAGGGGTCTTAAACCAGTTGTGATGGTCACCACATTGTAGTGAGATGAGGTGGCATTCACAAACATGGTGAGGTGCCACCTCATCACCACAAATGGTGAACTAATGGATGGATTTCATCGCTCCAAGTTCATGGCAATCAAATAACACAAAATAAGAACAAAATGGGCAAGGAATGCACATAAAAGTAAACTTGTTGCTTTTTTTTTTCTTTTTCAAAAATAAATAATAAACCATAAGCTATTTTTCGTTTAATTGACCCTTCTCAAAGAAAAAGACAATAAGCAGCTATTTTTCCTATTCTCATTTTTTTTTTTTATCAGAAAGATCCCACACAAGTCCAGAGGGGTTCAGACAGCTTAAAGAAACACAGTTGAAAGCACAAAACCATATATGTACTTATTCCTCCTATTCACTCATTCCCCTCTTCGACTCTGTAAGGACTTCAAAACTTCCAAATCCATTCCCTTCCTCCTCTCTCATCTCTCTTACTACTTTACTTTTCCATTCCCATGTTTATCAAAAGAAAAAAAAAAAAAAAAAAAAAAAACAGAAAAACAAGAAAGTAAATTCAAGATTCCAGCTTTGAGTCAGATGAAATATCACCATTCTTTCCCATTTGTGTGTGGAGTGGCATCAGTAACTTTGTCTGTGTCCCTTTCAAGATCTTGGAAGCTGCCTGCAAATTCAAATACTACAACACAAAACACCAAAACTTTCATTCAGAATACGCCATACATATATAATCAAATACAATTTCATGTTTTATGTTTATGTTTAAGGATTTACTTTTTACCTTACTAACATCACGATAAAAAGAACTTATCTCCTCCTCTGTAAGTCCTTCCTCCTCCTCAGTGGTGTCTTCCCAACCCAATGAACGTAGGAATCTTGCTTCTTCTTCCTCTGAGTAAAGAATGGCATCAGAGCTTGAATTATTCTTTCCATTTTCAGTACATCTCTCCCCATTGCAACCCAAATCAACCTTAGGTTCATGGGCCCCACTGGACCCCTCCACCACTGGATCATGTACACCAACCTTATCAGAGGTAACAGGGGCATTGTTGCTCATTGATTTCTTCCTCATAAGGTTAAAAAAGTCATTTCGGCTCTGAGCTTGAGACGAAGGTCTCTTCTCGAGTGTAGAAGCTACACCAGGCTTCCGCTCAGCAGCCGAAGCCACTGGATTGTTGTTTCTCAAGGGAGCGGGCCCAACAACCGAGGGTACAGCAAGAGGGCTATTTGGTAATTTACCACCACCACCTGTTGGGCTCAAGTTGTCTTTTGGAGTTGGAGTGACACCGTTTCTTTCGCGTGATGGCTTAAGCACGTGTAGTTTTCCCACAGAAGATGTTTTTGAAATGTCAATTTTAGTAGAAATGGATCTTGGAGAGTGTGTGTGGTTGACAAGGTGAGAATTCTGAAGCTGTATTTGTGCAACTTTTGGCTTTGTTTTATCTGAAGAGTTTGATCCCTAAAAAGACAATTACAAAAATAACAATATCAAGATATTTGAATGCATACAATAATTAGATCATATTACTTATTGATTCTAATGTAATGCCATACCCTTAGAATCAAAGACGAATAATCAACAGAAGATTTGAAAAAATTCTTACCAAGGCTTTAGGCAATGAAGGAGTCATGGGAATCAGCTGTCTGGATTGCTTAACAGCAAGCTCTTCCAGTCTTTGAGTTCCAACAGACAACTACAATGAACACAACAATATGTAATAAGTACATGATACATACTATGGTAGCATTGCATTTGTTACACAGAAGTAGTAGACAAGTTTTCAATGATGAGGATGAGAAGGGCATTCATGTCTTTTATACCTGAGGAGCAGTCTGAGCACGAGGAGGACCCTGAGCCAAAGTTTCAGCCATATTGCGACCAGTTGTCATGCTTGTAGTTGAAGGAATTGCAGTTGATTGAACAGAGGTGTTGCTTCCATTGCTCCCAACTATCACAGGCACCTCAGCCAGGGCGGATGTCCACCCATCGCCGCCAATCACCGCTGCATTACCAATCGGCAAACTCTGAATAGCAGTAGTCAACCCTGGAGATGGAACCCTCCCAATCTCACCATCAATCTGTTTCTCTTCAGCCCCAAGTGATGGAAAATCCCTCTCAAAAGCAATCTTCACATTACCAATGCCAACAGACCTTCCATTGTTGTGATTATTCTTGTCAGATATTACCTTTCTTGGCCATGACTCACGCTTTGAAGATACACTTGAATGTGAACGTCTTAACCCTTCTTTTTCAAACCTACTTGGTAGAATATTACTCAAAGGATCAGAATAATCACGATGCCTATGGCTATTATCTGACTTTTCTTTATCATGTATTATGTCTTTATCCCAATCCCTGTCACGGTTGCTCCTCCCAAAACTGCTGTAAGATCTTAAATGAGATGACCCGTTGCTAGAAGTTCGCCTGAAGTATGAGGAAGTTGTCTTTTCTGAAACAGAAGGGCGACCTAAATCGTTATCATTGATGTTAACAAACGATTTGTTTCTTGTGGCCTTTGATGCACCTTGTTCGTCTAGAAAAGAAGATAGTTAGATAGGTAAGAAAAACAGAAAAAAGTATGGTCGTATGGTGAATAATAACATAGATTCTTGAATCTTGATAGATGTTGAAAAGATTTACCTGAGTGTAAAGAAGATGACTGAAACTGATGGGATGTTGTGTTTAAGCTTCCACTACTTTTTAACCATTCGGGGACAAATGTTGGCTCACTTCTTTCCATAGCTAGTACTGAACATCATAAGAACAGAATAACAATGGACAAATGTGCATCTGAGTAATAAAATCCACACCCTCCAACAAAGTTTGTGTGTATCTTCGTCCACTTTAGGAGTCAAGAGTCAAGACCAGCTATGGAAGCCCGTGTGAAAAAACCAAAGCTGCAAATCCTAAGCTAAGGTTCTAACTCCTCTTTCAAGAGCACCACTGTATCGGATAAAAGAATCAAAAACTATGCTGTACACAGTTAGGTAGGGCTCGTGTTACCCCTTCTACCCTTGGTATTTACTGTAATTTGGATTGTAATCGAGAACAGAGATCAACAACCGTTTCTAGTGTTTAAAAGGTATTCATATTTCAAGACTGAACGAACTTACAAGACCCTCATCTTATAAATAAGTTCAATCAGCACTACCAGAAAACAGAACCGTATTATATCATCGAGAAACACAAAATATATCCCTTTTTGATGAACACTTCAAGCCCATTACATAGAAGAATCAAACCCTAAAATTTGAAGCGGCACAAACAGGTAAAACAAATCGAAACCCTAGGTTCTGTTTGTTCGATACACAACCGATATAATCAAGAAAAGGGTATTCTAAATTCGTAATATTGGCGAAGAAATGTCAAAAATTAGACTAACCCTTAACCGTTGAATCAAAAGAAGACCCAAAAAAACCCTAAGTCGCCGCCGCTGTTCTATTTTTTCCCTTGGGTATGTCAGTGCGATTAGATTATATGAGGTAATTCGTCTATGTAATGAAGGAAGAAAGCGAAGAGTCCCTCAATTGGGTTGTCAAGAAGGAAGGAGAGAGACGGAAAGGGAGAGCATGTATGTATTGTATGTACTGTGTGTTTGTGTATGGGTGAGTGTAGGGGAGATGGAGAATGAGAAAACCACCGGGAAGCCTCTTTGATTGCGCCGTGTGGAGGAAGAACTTTTATCTCAGTGTGTGTGTGAGATAAAGGGGATTGTGAGGAAGTTTTTTCTTGTTTGGTGTTGGTTTTGGAATTGATGTTGCTCTGTCTTTGGCGTGAGGGCTTGTTTTTGTTAAATTATATGAGAAATTTATGTTTAGCTTTTCTTAACCCTAATTATCTTGCATCTTATTTAACATAACTATTTATGAGTTTCTTCACATTTCTCATACTTATTTATTTTGAAAATACAACAACACGAACATCATATTCGCAAAATAGTTACCACGAATTCTCATAGTTCAATTCCCAAAACACTCCCTTTAAATTGAGGACCTAATTTTAGTATTCTCCTTTATAGGTAAACAAATTACACATCACACTTGTTGTTTGTTGAAATAAATTCTATAACAATAAGTGTTGTATTGTTCGTTACAGTGTTCGCACCTTGCATTATGTTTTGATCAAAAAGAAATGTCCGTAGCGAATGTTATTCAAAATGTAACATATTATGTGCTTTTTCAAAATTTATCATTCGTTAATATTTAGAATTTTCATATTTTGTGTGGGTTGTTTAAATGAATCACTTGTTTATATTGTTCTTAAACAAGCTCACAAAGCAATAAAAATAAAATATTTGCATTTGGTCTTAAGAGATAACTATTTCATCTCCATCCCAAATATAAAAGTATCATCATCATTAGTGATAAATGAATCAATATTGTTAAACAGCACGAGTTTGAGCATGCATTCTCAGTTTAACCATTTTCTAGATAGGTTGTATTCATTAAAGTTCATCTTGAACGACATTAAATCACAACAATGTGATCTTTCGCTTTTAGAAATTGAAGTGGCAACCTTAGAACAGCAACGCAATATAGTTCATATTTTATAGCACTACTCTAGACTTCATTTCCTTATTTAAATATTGATGTGGTCGTGTGTGTAACTTAGACCGGAGGTAGGGATGAAAGTGGGATTAAACCCGGACTTGATGGACCCGAACCCAAAAAACCCGGAAACGGGTTAACGGGATTTTGTAAGACCGGAAACCGGATCGGTATATAGGAACCGGTTCCGAGTATGGTACTGTGTAAAGTAAGTTTAGAACTGGAAAATCCAGAAACATCAAAGTAGGTAGGTTGGAACCGGATAAAGTGAGTTTAGAACCAAAAAATCAAAATTTTTTGGTAATTAATTACTACTTAGTGAGTTGATCATTGAAAATTTTCATATTGATATCCCAACTTTAGGGGACTGTAACTCATTGAATATGAAGCCAAAATTAACAAAATTATAGTCTAAAATCATGTACAAACTCTAAAATACACTATGGAAAAACCGCATGTCAATCCGACTTTAAACAAATAAGATATGCATGTGTTAATATTTCCACAGAATACACAGTACAATAACAAATAGCTGAAAAGTTGAAAATTTTCAGTTTTAATAACCCGACTTCGGATGACTGTAAATCATTGAATATTAAACCAAAAATTGACAAAATTATAGTCGAAACTCATTTCAAACTGTAAACTACAAGTTGGAAAAAAACCACATGTCAATCCGACTTCAAACGAATTAGATATGTATGTTTTAAAACTTTTACCGAGTACAAAACACTGAAAAACTAAAAACTTCCAAATTTGATATATCAACTTTTGGGGAGTGTAAGTCAATGAATATATAACTAAATATGACAAATTTATAGTCTAAAATCATGTAAAAACTCTAAAATACATGTTGAAAAAAAACACATGTTAATCGGAGTTAAAAACGAATAAGATATGTATCTTTTAAACGTTTTACAAAAACTGATTCCGGTCCTAAAGTGGTTTCGGTTCCAAACATCGGTTCCGGTCTTTAGATCCGGTTTACCCAAACCCGATGGACCCAAACCCGAATTACCCGGAACCCGGATAAAGATAATTTTTAAACCAAGAACCGGAACAGTTCCGGTTCCGGTCCGGTTTTCCGGTTCTGAATCTCATCCCTAATGGGAGGTTATGGGTGGGGAGTTTCTCTCACTTTTTGTGGGTCACACCACTATGTCTCTCACTTTCTTTTCCCTCACTTAAACCCAAGGAATGGGTGGGAAGCTTCACTTACTATTTTTTTTTTTAAATAAAATTAATTGATTTTTATGATTTATAAATTTAAAATTAAAAACAACCAAAAATTTTAATTAAAAAGAAAATGCATTTCATTAATTAAAATAAAAATTACAATAAACCTAAAATTTAAAAAAGTAGACAATTAAATTTAAAAAAAACACACAAACAAAAAATCAAACAAACCAACAACAACCTATGAAAAATAGTTTTTCATAATTTTTTCTCTCTTCTTCATCACGAACTCGAGAGTCGGTTCCGAGAGATGGTCAGTGTTCTTCATCAATAACTTCATATCTACCATTTCTTGTCTCTCCGCCTGCTCCTTCTTCCTTGCTTATTCTTTTTCTTTGTTGAACGCCAAACGTTCGGAAAATTAATATTATAACGATCAAACGACGATGTTATTTTCCGCATTTTGTCAAGGTCCATGATGAAATCTGATGCACCCGAAGAAGTCCATTTTCCCTTCCTCTTTGCTTTGTCCCTACCCATAGGTCGGACAATTTCTTTTAACTCGAATTCGTCCTCCTAATTTAAATCTAGAGCGAACCGAGCATCGGAGGAAGTTGTGTAACCACTAGATCCATTTTTCGTTCGTTTTGATTATTTGTAACGACCAAAAATTTCAACAAATTTTAACTTTTCAAAAACAACCCATTCTCATATTGTTATTACAAAAAGGTTTTCAATACATTTACTATCAGAGTGTTCCCAGAACCATATTCATAAAACATAAACTCGAGGAGCGGTACGATCACACCTTTGCCTTGCCACGGTCTCCTGAAAAACCTGAAAAACATTAAACCACAACTGTAAGCCCGAAAGCTTAGTGAGATACCCCCAAAATACCAACCACATATACCATACACATAACATGCTATATCATATCGAATCACAGAACAACCATGCATATCGGGTCTACTGTGTGACTGGTCTGCCGCACCGGCCAACAGTCCACCTGGTCCACCCTCCGCGTCTAGCCATATACATCGAGTCTGCAGTATGGTTGGTCTACCCTCACCGGGCCTTCAACCAACCTGGTCCACTCTCTGAGTCTACAATATGGTTGGTCCGCCGGCATCGGGCCTTCAGTCGGCCTGGTCCACTCTCCGAGCCTTAGCACGTCTGGTCCGCCCTCGTGGGGCCTACAGCCTATCCGGACCGCTCGTTGGGCCTTCGGAATAACCGGTCCGCCCTGCGTATCTTGGCCTACAGCACAAAGCAGGTCCCGCCTCAACCCAACCCTAGTCAAACAACCATGTGCACATAAACATACAATCATATAACAATTCATATTCAATCAAACCGATCTAGCAGATCACGTAACACAACATACTCTAAGCAGGATGTCGACCTAACCGGTCACTAGTATAGCATCATCCTATATACCATGATACCGACCTTAACCAGGTCTCTAACGAATACCATCCTAACTACCAGGATGCAAACATAGTAAAACAGCAACATAACAACAATACCCGGATTACAATCTGATAAAGGGCCGGCCTTGGTGCCTTAGACCCTGTTGATATAGTGAGGATAACTCACCTCGCAACTGCTGACTGGAAAGATAAGATCGAGATTCTCCGATCACTGACACGATCTCCACCACTGGCTAGCACCAACATTAAACTCAAACAAAATCCAACAATTACCAAAATGCCCTTAGAAGTCAACTGGTCAACCCTTGGTCAAAGTCAAAGTCAAAGTCAACCTCTTGACTGACTCTACTCACCGAGTCAACCCAATGACTCGTCGAGTCCCCATGCTTAGAACTTCCCCAATCCGCGACTCAACTCGCCGAGTCACCTCGAGACTCGCCGAGTCTCGTAACTCTGAGTCCCCTCGCACTCAACTCACCGAGTCCTCTCTTGACTCACCGATTCATGACTCAACCAGAAGAATATTAGGACCTCACGACCAGACTCGCCGAGTCCAAGGCCATCTTCAACCTACTCGCCGAGTTATTCTTCCAACTCGTCGAGTTCCAGTCCATCTTCAAGCAACTCGCCGAGTACACCTTTGTGACTCGCCAAGTGCCTCTAGATCTTAACCCATGCAGAAGCTTTCCAGGCCATGCAGATGATCCAAAACATAGATCTACCCTTATACAACCCATCCATCACGTAAAGTGGCAAACTTTACGTGAATCCAAAGAGATCTAGGCATTTTACACTCTAGGGCTAGGGTTTGGGACAAGATGGCTTCACCAATCACTCAATAACAGGGACTTTAATGCACTCTAAACCTCCTCCACTTCAGATTTGAGGTAGCAACCTCAGATCTATCCTTCAAACTCAAGATACCACAATCTAAGCTTCCCACACAACCCCAAAATGATGAATCTAGAAGAACACAGCCCAAGAACGAGATATTACCTCAAAATGAAGCCCCCAACAACAAGGAATCCGAATCTAAGCAAAGCTCCTTGCTCCAAGCCTCCTAACTCTCCAAGATCTTCTTCCAACTTTCTTCTCCAAGGCTCAAATGCACTCAAAACCTTCACAAACACGTTTCTAGGGTTTTCTGGACTCAAAGGGAAGGTAAGGAGGCTGGGGAGAGGGTATAATGTCCTTTATATAGGGCTCATCCCCTGAAATTACGGTTTTCTTCGCACAGCGCCTACTCGCCGAGTCCAGCTTTGGACTCGCCGAGTTGGCCACTTAACACGCGACCTGAGTCGCGACCCTACTCGCCGAGTCCACCCTTGGACTCGCCGAGTTGCCCTTCAAATTTTACACTTTGAACCCCGAACTTGCACTCCTGGACTCGGGATGTTACAATTCTCCCCCACTTAAATTAGGCTTCGTCCTCGAAGCCTGCGGCAACACAACTCCAGAACTACTTCCGCAATGTACCTCTTGGCCTTAACCAGACCAGATTCCTCAAAACACTGCCATCGAAACCCGAACCCAACTTTCTCTCTTGCGGTGTCCTGACCCCCACTTCAAGCCGGCCACCGGCCTCATCCTTTGATAACCACATCTAACCACCGAGTACCACTCCCT